TTTCATCTTTAATATCTTAATTTGTGTTCTGAAGATGAATGACGGTCTCAGGAGAATTGTAATGACATAATAGTGAGTTAATAATTTTGGGATGAACGGACCCATTAAAGACATGGCTGTTTAACTGGTGTTTATGTGCTGCTCAGATGTCTGTGTGTGTGCTCTTTCAGTTCTCTATACTTGACTTGTACTGTTTGCTTCTGTTTTCCTGCAGAGTGGCGAAACAATTTTCTGCGCATAAAAACCATGGTGTTGATTGGCGGACCAAATGATGGTGTTATCTTACCGTGGCAATCAAGGTCTCCACAAAAGCTCCCAAAATTAACCCGAGCCTTGTTCACACATTTAACCTGCATTTCTTAATCCCAGCCCAGCACAATTTCCCCCCTCCCACATCAGTTTTTAATTGCAATTCTACAAGTTCCCTGCAAAGCAAACTCCACAGGGCTCGAAAATAACCTTTTTGCTTTGTAGCACCGGTGTTCTTAACCTTAAAAATTTAGGCGTATCAGCCAAAATTTAGTCGCACCCACCAATTATGAGCACCGTTACTACAAGTTTTATACAAACATTGTATTTGAAATCAACACTAATCAAACTAACAAGCAAAAAAAAATAAATAAATAATACATATATGCAAGCGTGAGGAAAATATCTCAACGAAATCCTGTTATCACAAGAAAATACATTTTTATAACAGAATTGAGTGACCAAAGCATACACGGAGCGCTCACCGGCCCTGCACGCACTGCTTGAATGAATCTGTTAACTGTATAACTGTGCTGTTCTCAAGTACAGTCTGATATTGCACTGATGCTTTTGACACATACTGTACTTTATTTGCATACATGTTAATAGCAATAGCGATGTTAGTTTACTCCGTGTAAGCCCGTTTATGATTGTGTACGTGGTGTTAAATTTGACATATCTGCCACTTGCACAGCGGAGAGCTTCTGGCGACTATATGAAGGATTAAACAGAAGCTCTCGTGCTAGATGTGGCGAACGGATACCTGAAAACTCCATCCCACAGACTTTTCATAGCAGACTTTAAGCCAATGGAAGTCTTATACTCTTGGAAAAGTGTAGATGGTGGATTAATATTCAGCACATGATAACTAGTAAGATGTCATTACTTGTAACTAGATGGTTTCTAAAACTAAATCTGTCAGCGTTATCTTCATTCTCATCTTCAGCCCTTTACAATTTTTCGCAGTAGTAGCTCTGTCATCCGAAGCCAGAAGGCGCTGAGTGATTGACAGCTGATATTAACCAATCGTTCACGTTCAGTGCTAGAGCAGTGGTGGGTCAATAAGAAAAGCGCGAAGGCGGGGCAAGCTTTATGAACTTGGATTTGTTTACTGCAGCAAGTTGACATGACAACTGTTTTAAACCATTCCTGAGCACTGCGTTTCACGTTCCAAGTGCAAACAAAGAGCTTAGAGATGCATTCTGCGTGAATGTCTCCCGAATCCGCGCATGTGCTAAACATTTTGCAGTAAAAACTGGTTGCACACAACAATTTTAAGCACGCAGAAAATTTCGAGCCCTGTCCACAGGAAAGTCCACCATGAATTTGAATGGTGTTTTATTCAAATGGCATTTAGTGGATGAGCTTTTGCCTCTCAAGGGTTGCTAACTGTTGGCTGTAAAAATCTAAAACTGTATTTTAAGTGCAATAATTAAATGACACTAACAGCAATTGTTGCATTTGAAATTGTCCTGACAATCAGCTAAGGTTTGCCACTCGACTGTATTGTGTGCTCCTAAGGCACAGGTGTCCACTCCAGTTTTTGGAGGGCCACAGCTCTGCACAATTAGTTTGATCAGGTGTGTTTAACTAGGGTTGGAACTAAACTGAGTCCCTCAGTTTTGTTTAAAACCTTCAAGTAAAGCTGCAGTCACACTACAGTTTGAGCTTGTGAAATTCTGTTGTACAACGCTGCAAAAAAAAGGGCGGAATCTTCATCTTTAGCTATCAGGTTCTGAACACCTTTATTTCTCTCCTCACAGTATGTTCGGGTCTTTTGACAGTGATGGAAAGGTGATTGATATGGAAAATCAGGATGTGAGTGAATGCATTTTACTCTTTTTCAGTATTTTGTAATATTACTTTATTTAAAATACATCCATATTGTTCTTCAGTTTATTTAACAATGCACGTTTAGTTTGTACTTCCTTAATTTTTGCTGGTGCTGTTTGGTTATGCTAACCGTTTTTCACCTTCTCCCCAGTTTTATGTAAGGGATACTTTTGGCCTGAAAACACTGAAATCCCAAAGTGCCGTGTGGAAGTGTATCGTTCCTGGTGTTAAACACAATTTCTGGCCCTCAGACCCCAGGGTCTTCCAGAACTGCATAGAAAAGTGGCTCACGTAATCACAATCCTGTACGTCAATTCTCAAACTCAATTCCTGGAGGGCCGCAGCTCTGCAAGGTTTAGCTCCAACCATCCCCAACCCACTTCTGCTTTTCAGATCAGCTGTTTTATTAGGGTTGGAGCTGTGCCGAGCTGACACCCTCCAGGAATTAAGACTTGCTGTATGCTTGAAGTAATGTGTCTAGATTTGTACTCCTTTTTAACACAAATAAATAAACTATATTTTTTGTTATTTGAGTATTTTATTTGTTAAGTAAATATTTGAGTAAAATCTGGTTAAAGTTGTCATGTCACTGTCTAGCAAAGCTATAGATAGATAGCCCTCCATGTTACTGACTCAAAGTACTATGTCCAGGGAATTTCAGTTCACTTAAAGTTCAAGATGAGGTACATCCCAATAACGTTCAAATTGAAAATGTCTATCAGTTAGTAATAAAAGACACTTGGGGTGCTTTCACACCTACACTTGTTTCGCAACGTATCTCGTTTGCCCATTTAGCGCGGTTCGTTTGGCATATGTGAACAGGGCAATCGCGCTCTCCTGTAAGCTGTTTTAATGCAAGTGGTGCTCGCTGCAGAGCTATTTGGGCAGAGCTGAGCTCCAGCGAGGGGGAGCATGAGCTTGAGCTCCATCTTTTTTGCACTTCTACGAGTGATGTCACTGGGGGTAGGGTTAGGGGTGGGGTTGGTGTACGCATTAAAACAGCTTACAGGAGGAGGAGCGAGAGCTCATGCTCCCCCTCGCTGGAGCTCATGCTCCCCCTCGCTGGAGCTCATGCTCCCCCTCGCTGGAGCTCATGCTCCCCCTCGCTGGAGCTCATGCTCCCCCTCGCTGGAGCTCATGCTCCCCCTCGCTGGAGCTCATGCTCCCCCTCGCTGGAGCTCATGCTCTGCTCAAATGGCTCTTAATGCGTACACCACCCCTATCCCTACCCCCAGTGACATCACTCGTAGACGAAGTGCAAAAAAATGTGGAGCTCAAGCTCCCCCTCGCTGGAGCTCAGCTCGCCCAAATGGCTCTGCAGCGAGCACCACTTGAAGTAGTTGCTCCGAGGTCGCTTGAGTGAGGTGGTATCGGCTCGATTGAAACGAACCCTGGAGCTGTTCGATTGCAGTGAGAAAGCGATTCGATCCGAGCGCTGTTGTATCACAGTGTTTTATGGGTATGTAATAGGCTTACGGCTATATGAAGAGAGAATTATGAGTAGGGCGGGAAGTTTTGCGAGTCTCCGGATGCCTGCAAACGAGTGATGATCTCCCGGTAATCTTGCGTCTCCCTCCCGGTCCTCGAATAGGCATCGTCGCGCACCCTTCTCACCCCTCCCCACCCCGTCTTTCCTCAGACATGTCGCGCGTGCACCCTGTCAATCACCACCAAACCACCAACTCTCCTGACAGCTGAGCGGGACGCTGCAAAATAAACCCTGACACTCTGACCAATGTGAGGAGAGTTTACTCGAACGTGACTTGTTTTAGCTCTTTTGGTCCGATTAGAAACTTTGCAGTGTGAAAGCGAACCGCTCCAAGAGCAAAGAGCAACAACGTAACAATTGTAATCTGTTTCGGAGCAACTGAATCGATTCACAGGTGTGAAAGCACCCTAAGACATAATACCGGGTCTCAGATATAAGGATAGTGCTATTCAGAGTGGAAGTGACTTTATATGAATCTATTGCATACTATAATTCAACTCGCATTTTCACTGAACAATTAACCACACAGATTGTCCAGCGATCTTCAAATGCAATATATGGGTTAACAGTTTTTGTAAACTTAATACTACCACATGAATTTTGGTGTTGTGTAACTATTTCGAGGTAAACTAATAAAACAAACACTAAATCAATCGCATCTCACTCTCTGCTCTCGGTTTCAGTTTCTTGCGTCTTTTTTAAGTCCCCGCCCCTTAACCTCTAGAGGTCATTTAACTCAACACATAAAACCTATTTATTAGAGAATATTTTTCATAAAGAACTATGGTTTCAGATTTTAAAAACCTAATATGGCAGGAAGTTCTCAAAATAGTTCGTTGAAAAATATAAGAAAAAAACAAAAACGCTTGATTATCAACATATCCTATATTAGTATCTCTCTGTACACACACACACACACATATATATATATATATATATATATATATTTATTTATTTATTTATTTATTTATTTTTTATATATATTTATTTAGTGGTTTTGTCGCTGGGGCACTTCAGACCATTTTAGAAAGGCACTTTCTATCCAAGACTAAAAAAAGGCTTTCAGCTCTATTCAAATGCATGGGGAGACTCATGAAGTGTTAATTATAAACGTTTACAAACCGATTTAATACTTTCAAAAACCACGATCGTAATATATAACGTTATGTCCAGTAATGGCCAGAAAGTCATTCATTTTTTAATTAACTCTTAAAATTTTGGTATTTGTGATGCAGGAAACCCAGAGATTGTTGTCTACACTATGACTTTATATACAATTAACTTTAATGTGTGATATGAATTGAAAGTGATCATAAACAAATAATTTCTCAACTCAAATGAGTGGCGGCTTGGACCCGGTGGTAACAGTATTACATACGTCACCAACACGTCATCACTTAAGCGGATACTATAAAAGCGTCACCTCAAGCGACAGAACATCACGCTCCAAACAATTTACCAGCTGTTTTATCGTGGAGCGTCCTGCTAAGGTTAGTCATGCCTACTTGGGTGTCTAATTTAAGTTTGGCTTGTTATAATTATGAAATGATTATATACATGTTTGATTTCAGATTATAAGCAGTTGTGGCGATGGCTGATGGCTGCAGACCATGTGTTTTTATTTTGGTTGTTTTACTGCTGCTGCCCTCAGCCATCATGGCGTACAGACCAGTGATTATTATTCATGGGCTATTTGGTGGACCTAAAGAGTTGACACCCTTTGTGAACTTCATTAAAGAGGTAAGGAATCTAATGTATGTATTTTGTTTCACGCATGTTATCGTTTATACGGTCACTTGTATTGGTTGTTGTTGTTGTTGTTGTTTCACGTGCAGTACTTGCAAATCTAAGTATGGTAACTCCCTGCTCACACAGAAATGTATGGAAGCTCTTTCCCGCTAATGAAAAAAAAAATTCTCAAGATTGTGACTTGATGCAATTGTAACTCCTTTATATTTCAGAATTCCGACTTCATATTTAAAGTCATAATCTTTGTTTTATTCTTTGGTGGGATTTTAAAAAAAATGTCTTTAGTTCATTGGGGAGAGGATAGTTTTATTTATTTTTTTATTATTATTATTATTATTTTGCAGTCTAATTTTAAAAGATAATTAATTTAGCAGAAATATATTTTTGCTGTGGTTAATAACTCGCAAGATTGCTCTATCAAAATCATTTGTCATTTTATATCAGTGTAGGGAAAACTCCAATACAACTTTTAAATCACGGGTGACCAAACTTGTAAAGAGCCAAATATCATGAGCTGTAGGTCAAAGTTAAGTTTACCAAACTATATTACATTAAAGTTGCCATGGGTAATTTCCTAATTTATTTTAGTAATGTTTAAAAAAAATGGAGAAAAAAACTGTACTAGTTGTATGAAGTAATTCTGTACAATGTTTAAAATGTTAACTTATTACAATAAAAATATAACAGTGGCGTGAATCTGCCCTTGCCTTGACTTTTTCACCAAAGTCTGCATTGTTCTCCATCCGTCAGGTATGTACATTTGAGCTAAATCTGATTTATTAACCATATTTAATGGAAACATGCAATTTGTTTTAACAATAAAACAATCAAAAGATTACATTTATATTTGAAAAGACTATTACGTTTACATTTCATTTAGCAGGCGCTTTTATCCAGAGCGACTTACAAATGAGGACAAGGAAGCAACTTGCACAACTATAAGCGCAACAATGACTAAGTGCTATAGGCAAGTTTCAGGTCTGTAAAGTCTAAGAAGGAACGTGTTAGTACTTTTTTTTTTTTTTTTTTTTTTTTTCTCGGGTACAGTTAGTGTGATATCCAGAGAGGCAATTGCAGATTAGGAAGTGAAGTGGAGACTAAATAGTTGAGTTTTTAGTCGTTTCTTGAAAATAGCAGAGTGACTCTGCCGTTCTGATGCAGTTAGGGAGTTCATTCCACCAACTTGACAGATTGAATGTGAGCGTTCGAGAAAGTGATTTCTTCCCTCTTTGTGATGGAACCAAAAGGTGACGTTCATTCACAGAACGCAAGTTTCTGGAGGGCACATAGATCTGCAGAAGTGAGAGCAGATAAGGAGCAAGGCCAGAAGTCACTTTGTAGGCAAACATCAGGGGCCTCATGTACGAAGACTTGCGTGGAAATCTTACTAAAACATTGCATACGCACAAAGCTGTAAATATGCGTACGCAGAAAAAAATTCAGATGTATGAAACACTGCGTACGCCGAATCTCACGCATATTCTTTTGTACATCCGAATGAACGTGAAACTGAGCGCAACATGCACGAGCACAAAACCCCTCCCTGCCTCCTCCCCCGTATGAATATGCTAATGGCAAAAACCAACGAAAAAGCAAAGGCAAAAGCAAGCAAAAAGAGAAACTTTGAACAGAATGTGATTGGAGGTGCTGCTTTCGGAGGTAGACCGGAGAAAAGCGGTGTTGTTTGCAAGTTTGTTCTCCGGAATTAACAATAAAAGAAAAAAATAGAGTGGGAGAGTTTAGCTGATGCGGTTAACACAGTTGGGTCTGAACATCGCACTGAGTGCATTAAAGATAGAAATAGTGTGGTTTATATCTGAAGAATGTTGCAGTACCCTTAGCAGTCTCAGTGGCACACCTCATAAGACGCATGTGATCATGAGTAGTTTCGTTCGAGCATGAACTCGGCTCGAATCCAGCGTCTGATGAATTCTTTCTTGTTTTTTCCCCCGCTACATATCAGATTTTGCCAACTATTTATCACGAGAAAGACAAGTAGGAATCATCAATAAGTTCATATCAATAAGCATCATATTTTATTTGCACATTTATTAAATGGAAATGTTTCACGCATGCAAATTCATCTTCAGATAGTGTCTTTATAGCAATGTGCGCGCGGTAGATCGCTCAGATTACATTGGGAAAACAGGCGACTGCTGCAAATTGTGCTTTAATGTTTAGCTGGTCAAATGTATGGTATGGAAACCTTATACCTGCTGAACCCGTCTCATACAGCTGCCATTGCAAGGCTCAGACACTTTGTAGAGAGGAATTTAAAACAACTGCCTCTAGGAGTCGCCAATGGAAATAAAACAGACACGCACAAAAAATGTGCGTACGCCTGCCAGAAAGCTGCCGTGAAGCTGCGCACATTCCCACGTTCAGTTCATTGTTAGTAAATCCAAACGTGAGCCATTCTGAGCGTGAAACCTGGCGTACGCAAAGTTTTTGTGCGTACGCAGCGTTGATGCATGAGGCCCCAGATCTTTGAATTTGATGCGAGCAGCAACTGGCAGCAAGTGCAAACGGACTAGCAGCGGAGTGACATATGCTCGTTTAGATTCATTGAAGACCACTCGTGCTGCTGCGTTCTGGAGCAGCTGAAGAGGCTTGATAGAGTTAGCTGGAAGCCCAGCTAGTAGAAAGTTGCAGTAATCCAGTTTGGAGAGAACAAGAGCTTGAACAAGGAGTTGAGCTGCATGTTCAGACAGGAAGGGTCGGATCTTTCTGATGTTATAGAGTGCGAATCTGCACGATCGAGCAGTTCTAGAAATGTGGTCAGAGAAGTTTAGTTGGTCATCAATTGTTACTCCAAGGCTTTTCACCATTTTGGATGCAGTAATGGTTGCCCCATCCATCTGGATTGAAAAGTTATGGTGTAGAGTCTGGTTGGCAGAAACTACAAGCATTTCCGTTTTTGCGAGGTTCAGCTGAAGATGATGATCTTTCATCCAGTGTGAAATGTCCAACAGGCAGGCTGAGATGCGAGCTGGAAAGTATATCTAAAAGTAGCTTTTGACCCCATCAGTAGGGACGGAAGTAGCACAACAATATTTACTTGCTTAATCTTGTTTATTTTTAAATGCATCTGACCATAACCTTGGTAATGTTAACTGCAAACATTGTCCTTTTATTTTTGCAGAAAATATATTGAACTGCATTTTATATACATTTCACTGCGAGTACGTATATAGGACTAAACCGTCTTTCAGGTGGTATAGCCGGCAATAAATTACAAAACTAGCTGTTTGGGCTTTGATCTGGGAGAGAAATCATTGCACTTTTCAGAGCGAGGTCTTGTGCTACCAAAAATAGAGTGTTGCATAACTCTTATTCAGTCAGTCGAAGTAAAGGTCTCCTTGAATAGGATGTCAAAATTAATCAAGCTCTAGCCACGAATAAAATAATAGGCTTTTTTTTTTTTTTTTATATGTTCTAAGATTTTTGATGATGGGTTAGTAATTATAATATAGATGGTTAAATATCTTAAGTCAATGAAATAACTTTTTAATAAATATAATGTTCAAAAGGATGTGGCGGGCCAGTGAAAAGCAGCTATAGTGCATTCTGTTTAATAATCAATTTAAACGAGGTCATAAAAAAAGCGGCATTAATTCCCGCCCTCTCATGGTAGGTACGCACAGCCGTATGGCTGCTGGCGCCACTGACTTTCACCCTACATTTAATTAAAATACCCCAAGAAATTCAGTATTGTGAAATCCTTTTAAGTAGTTTCAATTCTAAGTTCAAGTTCACAAAATTTACCACAGTCCTTCCTTCATCTAAAATAAAACTCTCGAACGTCTCCTGTTTCAGTCTCATCCAGGTACGAGTGTGACTGCACCATCTCTGTATGAATACGCAGCCAGTGTGAAGCCAATGTGGGTACAGGTGGAAGGCTTTAAAAAGGTCATTCAACCCATCATGGAGAGCGCTGAAGATGGTGTCCATCTCATCTGCTATTCGCAAGGTAATGCAGCCAATGATCTAATACAATAAGTTTTCAGATTATACAGCCCTGTTGGGACTGATAGATATTCCTACATATTGGGCTCATTTCTACTTTTACCTTGGAGGTTGAAAAGTTTATGCAATGATGTGAGGACAATCACCCTCCATCCATAAATTGCATTACTGATTTTAATTCTCAAGAAGGTCTCTGGTTCCCGGCTGGGTCAGTTGGCATTTCTGTGTGTAGTTTGGACCTTCCCCCTGTATTGGTGTGTTTCCTTCAGGTTCTCTGGTTTCCCCCATAGTCCAAAGACATGCGGTATACTGTAGGTGAAGTAAATAAAATAAATTGGCTGTAGTGTTTGTGTGCAAGTGTGTGTGTGGATGTTTTCCAGTACTGGGTTGCAGTTGGAAGGGCATCTGCTGTGTAAAACATGCTGGATAAGTTGGCAGTTCATTCTGCTTTGACCCCTGATTAATAAAAGGACTAAGCCGAAGGAGAATGAATGAGTGAAAGCTCTGTGGATTCAACAGTATCTTTATTTTTTAGTAAAGGGCGTTTGTTGTTGGATGGCAGGTACTGATGTTGTTTTATCAGGGTGTGTTGGAGAGTGTTGCATTGCACTTCATGATTTTGTCAAGTGTGACTCGTTTCTGGATTAACATCCATGTTGATCATGAAACAATTTTTGTTCGAAAATGTAATCCATACCTACTCATAAACCCAACCTGAACTGTAAATTATTCCTAAAGTCAGAGGGAAACAATAGTTGATTAACAATCATGTAGAACGGCATAAAGCTAACCGTAAACCTAAATTGAACATAAATGGTAAACATCCCTTAAAGGTTCATGAAACCCTCTTTTTTTTTTTTTTTTTTTTTTTTTTTTTTTCTTCTCCCCTATATATATATATATATATATATATATATATATATATATATATATATATATATATATATATATATATATATATATATATAATTTTCTTTTAGATTAACAGATTTGTGTGTGAGCATCAGTTAAGACTGTTAGCACCTGTCAGATTTAATTGTGAGGGAAAACTGAATAATTTGGTACTTTTGTCAGCTAATTTCAGCCCCAGGTTTAAAATGATCTTTGGGGCGGGATTAAAATCGGCAATGTAGCGCAAAACTGCAAGTGCAAAGATGACATGTCTTTCTCATTATTCATAGCTGAGTTTTCTTATCCTATGAGAAGAGCCGGCTGAATTATTCATGACTGCGTGTGCTTTCTGAAGACAAGACGCAGATCTGCGAGTGCCAAGCTCAGCTTTGAGAACCTACCTTGATGACTGGGTGAAACGTCGTCCATGGACCCACGGCACACAGTATTTAGCTGTTCATGAACAGTCGTATAAGTTTGTTTCGATGATCCACAGGGTTTGTTGCATGTTTTTCCCAAGCGGCAACCTCCCGCTCTCCCTCAGGAAGCCAATACGGAAGTAACTAAAACTGCAATTCATCTGAAATTCCGCTAGTCCTGGCCGCTCCTGGCTCCAAAACAGAGCAAATTTCAATTGAGCCCACTGTTAGAATGGCCAACTTTACAGCAGAAAAAAAGGTGTTTACAGCCTGGTACAAAAAGATTTTGGTTGCAGCTAATATTACCCTTCATGACAACTGTGAGGGGGGTGAATTTTTATTTATTTATTTTTTTATAACTCATCCGTTTCCTTTTATATTAAGTTATATTAAGTTTGCATAATTAAGGGAGTGGCCATTTGAGTGACAGCTAGGTCTCGTTGGTCGCCGTCACCTCGGCTGAATCCTGCAGATTAGCCACTGAACTCGGCATATTTATTGTATTTTTGTGTTTTATGTAGCTTTACACAGTCAACTGCCTTTTGGACTTGTTTCCTACAATTATTAGATGGCATGGCATGCTGAGTGCACTTAATTGTGCTCACAAACCATTCACGAGGCCTCCATTTCCCATGTGAGTAAAGTTATATACTTGTATACCATCTCTATACATGTATTTGTTTTATTTAAGATCATTTATCGTTTATATTTAGAGCTGTAATGCACTCCAGAATCTGACGGATTGATTAGCTGTAGGCTCGTGAACAGTCATCTGAAGCGTTGTCATACAGTGTTATGCTGGATTTCATCAATAGTCTTGCATTAACTAACACAGACTATATCTGAAGTGTTTGGAAGTAATTCGCGTTTTCCTCCTGTTGAAAAACTTCATAAGAACAATGTTTAGTGGCTCAATGTATTACAGCAGTGTTTTTAAGAGACTAAACACTTTATTGATATAGAATACAACCAAGCACAAGTGGTCAGAATACAAACGAGTCACAAGTGATAAAGTATTTAGCATTCTCCCAAAGTAATGTGTGTCTGAACCAGGTCCAAGCTAAATGCCAGCAGGTGTCTGTAGCTCTGCTCACTCTCCGCCTCTTTGCCCTTGTTTGGTATCCCGCCGTGAGTGCGACGCACAAACAAAATGGCGACGGTTGGCCGCGCCTACTTGTGGCTTCTTTTGCGCTCTTCAGAAACCTATGGGTGACGTCACGGATACTACGTCCATATATTTTACAGTCTATGGTTTTTCCCCGCGATGCTGTCAGGGCTGATACAGCAAAGTTGTGTGTGTGCTGCAAGCATTTAGAGAATGGCCGATGTTGTCTTATCAGGAGTTCGTTCACATTTAGACAACTTGCCGTGCTGCTGTGTTTGCCTAAATCCTCCAGATTACCAACAGGGCTTATGGTTTGTGCAGCAGGTCTATGTCCTGTCTATTTGGAGTCTGCATTCAGACCCAGGGAGGATTGAGGGAAAAGTCCTCATTTAGTGTTTATATAAACACAATTGTATAAATTGTGCATATGAAATTACGAAAATCAAATGTAACTGGCCATTGAATTGCTGTTTATTTCTTTGCATTTTAACTTTGTAAACTAAAATCATGGGTCTCCCATATGGTTTGTCATTTTGTGAGCTAACTGACAACAGTTGTTGACTCCGCTCCTTCTCCAATGCTGGCCACTCTCACTCATGCCCTTTGCTTGCGGAGCCCATTATCATGCATCCTTTGAAAAAAATCTGAGGTAGACCTGAACCAAAAGTGGGGGCTCTCATGACCCTTTAATTCTGACTGGCTGATTAGAATGTTGTTCCAGGATCAACATGGATGTTAATTCAGGAACGTGTCCTACTTAATGAAATCAGGTTGATGAGGAGCTTGAAGTAGAGCCGCTAATCCTCCACATCAAAAAAAGTCAGCTGAGGTGACATTGGCATCTGTTTGATGCCTTCTGGACACCTACCTAGGGAGGTGTTCCAGGCATGTCCCACTCGGAGGAGGCCTTGGAAGACCCAGGACATGCTTGAGGGACTGTCTCTCATCTGGCCTGGGAACGCCTCTGGATCCCCTCGGAGGAGCTGGAGTGTTTGGGGAGATGGAAGTTTGGGGTTCTGTCTTAAGACTGCTGCCCCTGCGACTCTGCCCCAGAAAAGCCGATCATAAATGAATGAATTTCTATTTTTGCTGCACACTCACTGGTACACAATTAAATGTAGAACCAATAAAACAGAGCTGAAACTCCTCCAGACCTCAGTTTCACTTGTCATATAATTTGTGTAACAGGTGGTTTGATATGTCGAGGAGTTCTTGCTACTCTTCCTCAACACAATGCTCACTCTGTGATATTCCTGTCTTCACCACTAGCTGGCCAGTATGGAGGTCAGTGACGTTCACACCACAATATTTATTCTCATTCAAGAAACAAGACCGTGTACACATGCATAAGTGCTTTCTCCATGTTCTTTCAGTTACAAGGGCCATCAGCGGTGTGTTCCCTAAACTGCCCAAGTCCTCACTGCACAATGTTTGTTATACTGAACTTGGACAAAAAACATCCTTCTGCAGCTACTGGAATGGTAAGATGTGCTACTTTCATGCATCAGTTTAACCCCCGGCTCTGTCTGTGACTCATTATGTTTCATCTGCTGCTGCTTGCACTGTAGATCCACATCATAGAGAGAAATACTTGAATTCCAGTGTCTTTCTGGCCCCGCTGAATGGAGAAGTTGAACATGTCAACTCAACAGGTAACTAAGCTATTAATTTGCCTAAAATTATTCTGTTATTCATCAATTGCTCATGTCTTTCCAATGCCCTGATACCTTTTTATCTTTAGAACACTTTGTATTTTACTTATGTATTTATATTTATTTGTTTCTGTTTATTTAAAAACTATATATTTAATAAATTTATTTGATTTATATTTAATTTTAATTATTTTATTTTCATTCAATCGCTATCCAAACGATTTATGCAACCAAATATCTTTTAGTTGAAGTCAGAGAGCTCTCTCATCCGCCATACATGCAGCAATTATCTGGAGATGTTCCAGAAAGTCCAGAAACTTGGGTTTCATCTTTAATATCTTAATTTGTGTTCTGAAGATGAATGAAGGTCTCAGGAGAATTGTAATGACAAAATAGTGAGTAAATAATTTTGGGATGAACGTACCCATTAAAGACATGGCTGTTTAACTGGTGTTTATGTGCTGCTCAGATGTCCGTGTGTGTGCTCTTTCAGTTCTCCATCCTTGACTTGTACTGTTTGCTTCTGTTTTCCTGCAGAGTGGCGAAACAATTTTCTGCGCATAAAAACCATGGTGTTGATTGGCGGACCAAATGATGGTGTTATCTTACCGTGGCAATCAAGGTCTCCACAAAAGCTCCCAAAATTAACCCGAGCCTCGTTCACACATTTAACCTGCATTTCTTAATTCCAGCCCAGCACAATTTCCCCCCTCCCACATCAGTTTTTAATTGCAATTCTACAAGTTCCCTGCAAAGCAAACTCCACAGGAAAGTCCACCATGAATTTGAATGGAGTGTTTTATTCAAATGGCATTTAGTGGATGAGCTTTTGCCTCTCAAGGGTTGCTAACTGTTGGCTGTAAAAATCTAAAACTGTATTTTAAGTGCAATAATTAAATGACACTAACAGCAATCGTTGCATTTGAAATTGTCCTGACAATCAGCTAAGGTTTGCCACTCGACTGTATTGTGTGCTCCTAAGGCACAGGTGTCCACTCCAGTTTTTGGAGGGCCACAGCTCTGCACAATTAGTTTGATCAGGTGTGTTTAACTAGGGTTGGAACTAAACTGAGTCCCTCAGTTTTGTTTAAAACCTTCCAAGTAAAGCTGCAGTCACACTACAGTTTGAGCTTGCGAAATTCTGTTGTACAACGCTGCAAAAAAAGGGTGGAATTAAACAAGATGATCAGACATTTGAAAAAGCGAGCGATTTGGTTCATTTCTGTCCAGAGAGGTCATGTTTTGATCTTTGATTGGTCTTGCGCGGTCAAATGATGTGCTTTCGCTGGTCAGATCACCAAGCTTGAACTTTGCAACGCAGTGAACTGTGAAACTTGACTTGCGACCTTGCGTTTCCGGAATGATGCATTCATGTGCGTGTGAATGGAAGTATATGGGGAGAAAAGTTCAGTGTGACCGCAACTTAAGTGCGTTGAAGCAGGGTTGGAACTAAACTGCAGAGCTGTGACTCTCCAGGAACTGGATTTGACACCTGTGTCCTAAAGGGTTTGTGTTTGGCAGACTGTAATTCATGTGAAAAATATTTATGGATTGTGTTTTTTTTTGGGGGGGGGTCATCTGTAGCTTTCAGGTTCTGAACACCTTTTTCTCTCCTCACAGTATGTTCGGGTCTTATGACCGTAATGGAAAGGTGATTGATATGGAAAATCAGGATGTGAGTGAATGCATTAACCCCCCCTTAATTTTTGCTGGTGCTGTTTGGTTATGCTAACCGTTTTTCACCTTCTCCCCAGTTTTATGTAAGGGATACCTTTGGCCTGAAAACACTGAAATCCCAAGGTGTCTTGTGGAAGTGTATTATTCCTCGTGTTAAGCACAATTCCTGGCCTTCAGACCCCAGGGTCTTCCAGAACTGCGTAGAAAAGTGGCTCACGTAATCACAATCCTGTACGCCAATTCTCAAACTCCAATTCCTGGAGGGCCGCAGCTCTGCACGGTTTAGCTCCAACCATCCCCAACCCACTTCTGCTTTTCAGATCAGCTGTTTTATTAGGGTTGGAGCTGTGCCGAGCTGACACCCTCCTGGAATTAAGTTTAAGACTTGCTGTCTGCTGCAAGTAATAATTTGTCAAGATTTGTACTTCTTTTTAACACAAATAAATAAACTATATTTTGTTATATGAGTGTTTTGTTTGTTTTAAGTAAATATGAGTAAAATCTGGTTAAAGTTGTCTTGTCACTGTCTAGCAAAGCCTGTGTGCTTGTGTCAAAAGTACTACGTCTAGGGAAATTCAGTTCACTTAAAATAAAGTTCAAGGTGAGGTACATCCCAATAACGTTCAAATTAAAAATGTCCGTTTCAGTTAGTAATGACAAACACTTGGACAATACCGAGGGCCTGTTTCAGTAAGGAGGTTCAAACAACTTGGAGTTTAAACTTGAACTTTGAGTTGATTTACAGAGAGATTAAATACGCTTGAGTTTTCGGTTTCAGAATAGCTGATCTGAGTTGGGTCAATCAACTTTGAGTAGACCAACTCAGAGTTAAGCGCGCACACCGTGACTTTAAAAAGGCATTATCAATGGAGCGCAGATTTTACGAGTGACCATGGCAACGCTCCAGACGTTCGGAGGTTAATATACACTAATACTGAAACAGTTAAAGCATTTTAGAAGGACTAAAACAACGTTTAAGACGTGATACAGTGTGCTCAGCTTGCTGGTTTATCCATTTACACTTTCATCATCATATGATGACCTTTTTTAATGTACATACTGTAATTTGTTCAGTGTTTCCATTGTAGTTTATGCATATCTTTCTATCGAATAAAAGTTTATTCTACTCAATTATGTGCGTGTTTTTTATGCATATTTTCAAAAGTTATGTGCATCATGACGTTTCCATCAATCGTTTTTATGGACAAAATGAGCATTAAAAAGGGGAGGAGACCGACAGAAACTGAGAAAAATCTCTTGATAAATGCAGTTCCTTTTCCACTTTGCCGTCAGCATTCTTGAAAACAAATGATACTTTGCTCAACGTTTTAAGCAGCTAAGCAAGAGTACCAGAAACAACTAACTGTAAGAGAAAACTAAATATTCCAGTGAAATAAAGGAAAGTGGGCAATCTATACACCCTTTGTGAGGCATGGAAACGATACCAGTCCTAATGCATTACCTGTTTTACAATTTCCATAGCTTCTGAGTATTTAAAAAGGACAACATATTGATAAATGATGTTATGATCGATGCTTTAAGGTTACATTATGATTGCCTCTTATTGCAGTTATGAAATTGTTTGGCAACAAGGAATTGTTCATGGGTCAATTACATCACTGGTCTATAGACAGTACAATTAAATTATCATGTAAAACAGCAGAAAAAGGAAGCATTCAGCTTTAAACTAAAGGAGGTGAAGAGTTTTAGAAAGGTGCTCTTTATTTATTTACTCTTTAGGTGCAAAAAAAAACACTCTTTACATATTTCTTGTGTCAGTTCTTTGTGTCAAGCAAACTATCAAATCTAACGCACCCTACAGGCTACAAGCAGGTATGGTTTGTAGACAAAACTATTGACTAACATTTAAATCGGTAAACTTAGGATAGTTGTTTCTTCACACGCTTTCACATGCTTCCTATTTATTTTTTAATTTGTGTATTTGATCTGACAATCTGGTTCGGGGATATTTAATTTGATATAATTTTTCAATGCGTTTACTTTTATTTTGAAGTCATACTCACTTCGTATTCTAACCGACTTTTATTTTGAATGTTTGCGAGTTACTGACGGTTCCTGTTTCAAGTTGATTTCTCGTGACAAATCTTATGACATTTGGATTGTGGAAACAAACACCAGCAGGTTAGAAAAACGCGCTTGTTTGATTTCAGTCGTTTTCTTATACAACAGCAGTGCAAATATAATATCAAAACAGACGCGTTCAACAATACAATCGTAATTTATCACCATAATAATTAAAATGCCATGATAATCTTACGTCAGAAATTAACAACGCCTAATAAATAGCATTTATGGACATTTATCGTAATAGTTCTATGATATTCATTACAGTGGAGCATGTTGTAAATTCATGTAAACTGATTGCCTGGTCATTCATTAATGAGGGTGTACTTTACCATGGTATTTACATTTGTTTATTTATTGTACAGTAACGTAACTAGTTCATTTTTCCATATTGATAATTATTTGACTGCTTTAAATTAGCACACACTGTGTTTTCAATTATATTATATTATATTATATTACATTATATTTATTATATTATACACTGTAAAAATGCAGACTTCCACTCTATTCCTTCACGTCGTCCCAACACAAATCGATTAAGTTTAGTTGTTTTTACAAATTTAATTGGATTTATCATACAAATTTTGTTTAATTTGTACCAAAAAAGCTCAAGAATTGTGTTGGTTCAGCTCATGTAAATGAGTAGTTTATACAAGCAGATAGACAAATTTTGGAGATTATTATATTATATTATTGCTGTTTCTAATTCTAATTAATCAATTTTTTAAATTGTTAACTTAATTATTAAAATGGCAGCCTGTTCATTTATAGTTATGGTTAACATTAATATATCATATTTACACCAGATACTATCACTATACCATGGTACCTTTTTGCAAGTATAACATATAATCAACTACAAAACACTTAAATAAAACCAATATTAAAATGTGCAGAAAATATAACAATACACATAATGTATCACATTTTAGTTTCATGTAAATAAATATGCATACAATGATTATTGAACTACTTAGTATTATAGTATATTATTCATAAAATAGTATAAGGTAAAATTAAATATTTAATTTTAGATTTATTAGAAATTTATCAAATAAGGCTGCACAAATGTATTTAATATCTATGATCCTCTAACACAAAATGTACAGTTTTAAAACCTCTGGAAATAGTATATAAACAAGCATTTTAGATAAAAACAGTTTCGTTTTCATCATTGAACTATTTTTAAAAAAACATAGCCGGCTTAGTTGGGAAAACATCAAGTTTAAAAATGTTTGTGTAGTTTACAAGATCATGCATGGGTTAGCTCCTCAGTCTATCTGACATTACTCAATTTAAATCTGTAGAAAACAGAGTAAGTAGGGGTGCAGCTAGAGCTGATTGCATTATTCCACTTAGAAAAAGTTATTTTGGTCAAGCTTGTTTTTCTTTTAGAGCATCACATCAGTGAAATTGGATACCTCAATCTGTATCTTTTAAATCATTCAGGTGAGGGGTTCTCAAAGTTGGGGGTTGCAGGACAATGACGGGGTGATTTTCAAAATTCAAATAAATGATTATAATTACGGAATTTAAGCATAACTCACAGAAGATAAAAAATAGTAGTTAATACTTACATAAAAAAACAACAACATGCAAGTGAAAAGGTATCAGCCTTTCAATTATTTATTTCTTGATAGGATTGGCCTGTTTACGTTAGATTAACAACACAGCAATAGCCCCAGCTGCAGCAGATTGATTTTATAGCACCAGATTAAAACTTTTTAATACATTTATGGCATTCGAATAAGTAAAAAATAAATACAGACCACAACTAAACATCCATGATGATCTCTGAGTGGCGGTCTCCAAAATTTAACCAAGAATAGACTTGTGCTGAAAACATTGTGCCCACCAGTCTTTTTAGTTGAGGTTAATATTAAATTAAAACAATTTATAGTTTATTTATTCATTTTCTTGTCAGCTTACTCCCTTTATTAATCCGGGGTCGCCACAGCGGAATGAACCGCCAACTTATCCAGCACATTTTTATGCAGCGGATGCCCTTCCAGCCGCAACCCACACACTTATACACTATGGACTATTTAGCTTACCCAATTCACCTGTGCTTTAAAATGATATGGTTGTTAGACTGTTGCACTTTTTTGAAGCTCGTACTTAAATAGGGCCGTTGTTGTGTGCACAGCATTTGGATATTGACTGTATAAAGAAATGTGCGGGTCGAAAGTAAATGGCATTGTTTTTTTGGGGGTCGCAGGCTGAAAAGTTTGGGAAGCCCTGATTTATGTAGAGAAATGGCTTCTTAATATCAATCAGTCTTGTTCATAGTTTAAATTTGTATTTTTATTCGTATAACCTTTAACATCTGGCTAAGGGACCACCAATGAAAAGCTAATTTGGGTACATTTACGTTCTTGGGAATATTAATTAATTCACACTCACCCTTGTTGTGAAATACATAAATAAAAAAAATCAAAATGGGGTCATCAAAAATAGTGTATTTAAATGTTAGTCATTTTGAATGTGTCTTCCAGATGCAGAATCATGGCAAGCAACAAATTCCAGATCGTGGTTCAGGGAGAAGCCTCTGAAACGGACTCTGATGATGAAGTGTACATGACCTCTGCTCCCGCAGTCCCTGCGTCATTATCCTCCTCCTCGTCAGGGATGAAGGTGGCAGGAGAGGCATCGGAGACAGACAGCGAGGATGAGGAGGAGAGAGCGCGAAGACTGATCTCTGAAAGCCAACAGCAGATGCTCCGCAAAGATCTTCCTCCTCTCATCGTCATCAGAAACAGCCCAGCTACTGCCTGCGCACAGGAGGTTTGTTCATCTAATAAATATAATGTCATAGAAAGATATTTAGTATTATTTTTGATGGGATGTGTGTGTATAGGTGGATATCCTTATCAGTGTATTAAGAAGGAAAGTGTTACCATTTTTTCAGTTTTGTTTTACATTCATGACATTTATTTTAGACATTCATTTTGGCTAATTTGCAATTCACTAATTTCTGTTAATGAATTAGATCATATAAATTTGATGAATTGAATACTGTATGACTGAGTGTTTAAGTGTTTAAATAAATGTATGCACATTTATACATATATATACAAAGGTATATTTATGTAAAATCTTTATTAAATTATTTATTAATACATTATTTTGATTATTTTGCAGTTCACAATTTTTTAAAATTCCATTTTACAAATTCCTGTGGTTAATGTAGTAAATCATACTTTTATATTATTTTATTATTAAAATACTGTCATTTTTACTTAATTGATATACCATATTTAAAATTTTGTTCAATACTTTTTATAAACTTGTGTCTGTTTTATGTTATTATAGTTAATTAATAAATTAGATAATAAATCATACTTTAATTTACAGCTCAAGTCAATTTCTGTTTAACAGTGAGAAGAGTTTTTCAACACATTTCTAAACATAATAGTTTTAATAACTCATCTCTAATAACTGATTTCTTTTATCTTTGCCATGATGACAGTGAATAATATTTGACTAGATATTTTTTAAGACACTTCTATACAGCTTAAAGTGACATTTAAAGGCTAAACTAGGTTAATTAGGTTAACTAGGCAGGTTAGGGTAATTAGGCAATTTATTGTATAACGATGATTTGTTCGGTAGACTATCAAAAAAATATATATAGCTCAAAGGGGCTAATAATATTGACCTTAAAATGGTTTTAAAAAATTAAAAACTACTTTTATTCTAGCCGAAATAAAACAAATAAGACTTTCTCCAGAAGAAAAAATATTATCAGACATACTGTGAACATTTCGTTAATCTGTTAAACATTAATTGGAAAATATTTAAAAAAAGAAAAAAAAAATCAAAAGGGGTTTATAATTCTGGCTTCAACTGTATGTATATATATATATATATATATATATATATATATATATATATATATATATATATATATATATATTTTAAACTTTTTAAAACTACTGTATATTAAACCTATTAATAATCATAATTTATATGCACGTGTGTGTGTGCCCGTAATATAAATAATGTCAATAATAATGCTTTTTTTATTTATTCATTTATTTATTTATTTATTTATTTATAATCTTTATTTAGTCATTTTTAATTGCCAACTTACTCCGGGTGCTCTGGTTTCCCCCCTGGTCCAAAGACCTGTGCTATAGGTGAATTAAACATACTAAATTGCTCGTAGTGCATGTGTGTGAATGGGAGTGTATGGGTGTTTCCCAGTGATGTATTGCAGATGGAAGGGCATCCGCTGCGTAAAACATATACTGGATAAGTTGGCAGTTCATTCCACTGTGGCGACACCAGATTAATAAAGGGACTAAGCCAAAAAGAAAGTGAATGAATGATTGAATCTCTCTGAATATACAGGGTGGGCCATTTATATGGATACACCTTAGTAAACTTATTGGGAATTTTACAAGAAAAACAATGGTGTGCTTGGTTTTAACGTAACTTTATTCTTTCATGAGTTATTTACAAGCCTCCTCACATATACTAATGTGCCACAAACAGGACGTTAATATCACCAACTATTCCCATTTTGTTAAGGTGTATCTATATAAATGGTCCACCCTGTGTATAGGCCTAATTTAACATTACTTTAGTATGTTGCATTACATTCTAATTTCAACAGTGACTGACCACGTCTGAATTATTAGCCTCGCTGCAAATGTTTTTCCGGGATTTCTGTTTTGCGGAAAGATTTTTTTCAACACATTTCTAAACGTAATAGTTTTAATAACTCATTTCTAATAACTGATTTATTTTATCTTTGATCACAGTACATCATATTTTTCTGGATATTTGTCAAGATACTAGTATTCTGCCTTAAGTGACATTTTAAGGCTTAACTGGGTAATAAAGCAAGTTAGGGTGATTAGGTAAATCATTGTGTAACTATAGTTTATTCTGTAGACAATTTAAAACAAATATTTTTTAAGGGGATAATAATATTGACATTAGGTGCTTTTTGAAAAAAAAACTGCTTTTATTCTAGCCGAAATAAAAAAATAAGACTTTCTCCAGAAAAAAAATATTATAGGAAATACTGTGAAAAATATACAGTTGATGTCTGATTTATTAGCCCTCTTTAATCATTTCAATCATTTCCCAAATGATGTTTAACAGAGCAAGGAAATTTTCACAGTATGTCTGATAATATTTTTTCTTCTGGAGAAAGTCTTATTTGTTTTATCTCAGGTAGAATAAAGGCAGCTTTTAATTTCTTTAAAAAATTCTTTTTTAATTCTGACTTCAATTTTATATGTATGTATATATATATAATGTGTGTCTGTGTGTAGGAGAGATCATCGCCTGTGTCCAGACCCGATGCAGGACGCTTCAACACGTTGCTCCAGCAGAAACTTCAGGAGAGTAATGCACGGCTGTGTGTGGATGTCAGTCAAAGCTTAAAACAGGTTTATCAGAACGCATCCAAAGACATCCGACAAGCGACCGGACACCTCAACAACTCTCAGACGGGCATCATCAATGCCTCGCACAGCATCAGACTCATTCTGGAGGACCTGAAGTCCGTTTCAGAGAAGATCGACATCATCACCAGCTGCAAACTGCTGCCAGACATTACAATGCCGAACCCAGGGTCCGTACAGCCCTTAGCCAATGCTGGACTCTGAGTTCAGGCAGATGCAGGTAAAGCACAAGTGGTGGGAAACATAGGCCTGCTGTTAACATGCATATGTAAATGTGATGTATATAAGTGATGCATTTTGAGATTTTTGCAGCCATTCATCAACAAGGTTTGGTTTGGATGATTATTAGCAGTGCTCATCCTCTCTAATTAATAACATGGACATCTGCGGGGATTTGTTGGATATACTAATTAGGAAATGGAGAAAATAAATTACATATTTAAAAAAAAAGCTGGAAATTGTATATGATACTTTAGCTAGAAGTCTTTAGCATTTTCTTTGAATTCATAATACAGCTGGACATTTGTATCTCTATATAAAGTATACAGTATATTAGTGCTGGGCAAAGAAAAATGGCAGTAATCACATCCAAAATTAAGGTTTGCATTGGTGTAATAATAATTGAATATTTTAACCCCATTACAATCATTGAACGATTATTTTATTTATTTATTTTGCCCTCATAGTTCACTGACAGGTTTTGTAAATTAAATTTGCTCACATATTACAAGTGGGAGATGTTTGAATGAAGGGTGGATTATTTGATTTTAAAATGACTGAAGGAAACACACACTATTTACTATCTATGATTATTAATTGAACATCAGGAAATTAAAAGACATTTATTACCTAAAACCGACAGTCATCTTTTTCTTATAAATAAGTGAAAATAAAGAACTTGCACTTTTGCACACAAAATAAATTATTTGTAGTCTTTTTCATGTTAAAAGCAGAAAATAACTCTCTTCTAAATAAAATAAATCTTGTCTATCCTCTAAATAATATTTTAAACAGTGCATTTACTGCATCTTCTGTAAGCAAATGTTTTCATTTAAATAATATTTTTATTGTAATAGATAATATGCCATCTCAAGACATCTCTGGCGCAGTTTTGTCAACTGTCAGTGTAGTGCACAGGCATGGGCTGGAATAAGATTCTGACGGTATGATAACCTTGGATAAAAATATCACGGTTTGAAACCACTTTTTTCCCCTTTGAAACAGTATAATTTATTTTTTGAAAGATTTATAATAGTTTGGAGCAGTAAACATGTCAGGCTAAATAAATCAAAAGATTAATTGAATTCTGCTGTCTTCATTTGTTTTAAAAACATTGATTTCTTTACAATTTAAAATGGCATGTTTGAATATTTTTGCTGCTGGAGATACTGTTGGTGTACTAAAAAACAAACAAAAAAATGTAAATATAAAAATCTGTCTGCGCCAGTGGTGTAGTGGTTAGTGCGTCTACACAAGCACTCCGGTGCTTGCTGCAACTTGAGTTTGATTCCGCTCATGTTCCATGATCCCATGCTTTCCTGTCAATTCTCTACTGTCCTATCAAATAAAGGTGAAAAGAAAACCCTAAATAATAATAATAATTTTAAAAAATCTTACACATACCTTAAGAACGGTATTGCAAAAAATGTTGGCTGTTTTAAAACCTTGACACACAGAAATCCACACAGAAATGCCAACTGGTCTAGCTGAGGCTCGAACCAGAGACCTTCTTGCTGTGAGGTGACAGTGCTAACCACTGAGCCACTGTGCCGCCCTATATAATAATAGCATATTTATATTAATATATTTTTAGTATACATTAATAACATAGCATAGCAACAGCCATATCACCCTGCAGCCCAAGACTGGTTACTCACTGAAGCTAAGCAGGGCTGAGCCTGTTCAGTTCCTGGATGGGAGACCACATGGGAAATCTAGGTTGCTGTTGTAAGTGGTGTTAGAGAGGCCAGCAGGGGGCGCTCATCTTGTGCTCTGTATGAGTCCTAATTCCCCAGTAAAAGTAAAGGGGACACTACACTGTCAGTGGGTGCCGTCTTTCGGATGTGACGTTAAACCAAGGACCTGACTCTCTGTGGTCATTAAACATCCCAAGGCACTTTTCGTAAAGAGTAGGGGTGTAACCCCGCTGTCTTGGCCAAAGTCCCTCAATCGGCCCTTACGATCATGGCCTCCCAATCATCCCCATCCACCGAGTTGGCTCTATCACTAACTCTCCACTCCCCCAATAGCTGGTGTGTGGTGAGCGCACTGGTGCTGCCGTCGCATCATCCAAGTGGATGCTGCACACTGGTGGTGGTGTGGAGAGACCCCCCCCCCTCATGATTGAGAAGCGCTTTGGGTGTATGGCCATACACAATAAATGCGCTATATAAATACACATTACATTACATATTATGTAATAAAATGTTATCATTACATTCTATTAATATTATCATTATTATTTATATAAAAATTTTATTTATTTTTTCTAGATTCGATTTTTTTTAATGACATTTTATTTCACCTATTTGTTTATGATCACCTATTTTTCAGTTTATGTAATAAATCATGTGCTTTATAAAAAGATTAATAACACTAAATAGCTCAAACTGTGTTAAATCATATTTAATTAATAGTAGTATTTATAATGACAATCTGCAAAAACACACCACTCAGAGACAGAGTTTAGAAACTTTATTGAAACATACAGGTCAGTCACGAGCCACTGGAAAGCAGTTCCAGCGCTTACATTTTTGGAAACTTATAAATGCATCATGAGTGGAGAGCACGAACACTTCATAGCACCACCTTGATCGGAATAAGCACAAGTAGGAAATGCAACAGACACACATGGGCATTTCTTAAATCTGCTGTGTACAATTTAAAAACCTTAAGCTTCGAAAGGCACTTCGATGACACATCTACCTACTCAAATGAAGCATCTGTAACAATCTCTGGTGTGCATGTGACGAAACAAAATCATAACCTGCGTTTCTAAACATGAATAAGGCACTGGACCTGGAAACACTTTGTTTTATTTTATAAAGCTTATCTTTTAACTATACACTTAATCTATTTTTTTAAAGGACACTAATGCTGCACCATGATTAGAGTTGTGCAAATATGAATCTTAAAGCAACATAAATAAAACTTTTTTTTTCTTTTTTGATGGACAGTAATAATCACACAGATAGTATCAAAAAAATAGTTAGTTTTGAGACGCTTCCTAATGGCATTCATACATACAGAAGGGAAAATAGGCATTGAACATCTCATCATTTTTCTCAGAAAACATGTTTCTAAAGGTGTTGACTTGAATTTTCCCCAGATGTTGGTAACAACCAAAGAAATTCATATATGCAAAGTAAACAGATTTGAAAAGATTGAACACATGAAGAAAGGAAGGTGTAGAAAGGCATGGAAGGCCCAGACAGCAGCTGAAATCTCTCAGTAGCAACCCTCTACCATTCGTCATTGTAAATTAATATTAGCTGCTTTAGTCCAACATCTACATTAGCAGGATGATGAAGATGAAATCAGGGTGGACATTTCAGCAAGACAGTAATCCAAAACACAGCCAAAGAAACTCTCAAATGCTTTCAGAGAAAGAAAATCAAGCTGTAGAATGGCCCAGCCAATCACCTGACTCGAATCCAATATAAAATACAAATTAAAGATCAGATTTGATAGACGAGACCCCCAAAACCAACAAGATTTTAACACTCTGATGAAGTCTGAAAAAAAATCACACCTTTTTATGTCTTTATTGTTTGGGTTTTCACCAAAATCTGGTTCAATTCCATGTCAACAGCTCCTTTAGAAATATTATTCCCAGGAAAAAAACATGCCTTATTTTCCCCGCTGTATAACACTCACTCTCATTAACGTTTTTGTGCACATTTTTTTTTTCACAGTCACACAAATGCAAAAAGACACGTGCAAATACTTTGTCCTATGCAGACAGATGTTTAAAAACACTCGCACACATTCACACAGAAATGAAGTCACAAGATTAGTGGAGCTATTTACTTAATAAACATATTAAGTAAAAGGTGGCTATCTGAAGTATAACACTGAGATAGGAAAAAGGACTGATAGTACAGTAATAATGCTACAAAAGCTTTCGTTTCTAGGTAAACAACTAAACCAAAGCCAGTTTCATCTGAAAATAAATTGCAGTACATTCAATATGAAATAAACAAGGTACATGAGAGGATGAAAAAGGCACAGTTGTTTAAAAAAAGAAAGAAAGAAAGAAAGATTTTTTTGTCTCCATTGAGGAGTCTCACATTCTGTTTTTGTCATTTATGATGGTGATACAAAAAGGTATTCAGTTCTTCTTAGATGTGCAAAAATAATAATATGGCAACTGCATGGAGTCCTCCAGTATTTTAGCTTACAGTATAAGTGAGATTTCGATGAGAAAATATTGCACGTTCAAATGTGATTTGTCAAGTCGTGATGTCTGATTGATCAGGCCAAGTCCAAGGATTTTAGTTTGTTTGTTTGTTAGTTTTTAGAACGAAATTTGTCTGACCATTATGACTGCTCACCCACAATTCTAGTCGACGATGTATTCAGACATGCCAATTCGGATGATCTGTATTCAGTAACTTTTATTTAGTCAATCTGAACTATCCCCTCCCCAAATAAAGTATTCATCATTTGTACACAACACTAAATTATATGCAAAACTATGGCATGTCCCATGATGAAATAAGAAAGGGTTAGCATGTCAAGTCATATTGTGGGTGTGGTTGGATTGGTCGGTCACTAAAACAAAACAACAACAACAAAAAAACACACAAATCTGATTGGTCAGATCTTAGAATTGGTAAAGTCTGATTGGTCAGGTCATATAATGAGTGATGGCCCTCAAAGCATAGAGCAGCTCTGCCTGCATTCGGGCCTCCATTAGAAGCAAATTCACATGGACCTGCAGAAAGAAAAAGAGATTTCAGCAATTTGAGGATATTTACAATAGAAAAAATACTGTATTTATTAAATAAAAATGTTAATTTAAAATCAAAGTGATGCCATTATTTTATTTAAAGTAGGTTGTCCCAAAAATGTGTGAAAAATTTCAGCTCAGAATCACTCACAGTTATTTTATTATATGTTATAGTGTCGCTTTAAATACAATTAAGCTTATGTTGCCCATCCCACTTTCAGGAATAGGGTGGAGCCTGTATAGCCTGTGCATCGTTTACTCGATAACAACAAATAAAACATCCACATGCATTTTAAAGCCTTGTTAGATTACAGAAAGCCAAGACAGTCACACAAGTAAAGAACATCAGTTCAATCCTTGGCATCAGTTCAAATAAGCAAAAAAGGTATGCAAAAAACACATCATGTTAGTTATGTACGTGAATTCAAACAGTTGTGGAAGAAAAATCAGCATATTATAGTGTAATATAAAAGTATCAGCATATTAGACCTAGCTTTGTGAAGTGGATTTCTGGCCATGATGTTCAATTTTGGCCCAGAATTTAAATTTATTTGAAATCCCTAATATTCTGCATACTGTGACTTGTTCATCTCTGAAAGAACTTTAGTACTACAATCGAGTCATTTGTCTTTCTTCAGAAACAGTGCTTTACTTGTACAGTAGGGGTGTAACGATACACCAAAGGCACGGTTCGGTTCACTGTAAAAAATTTCCAGGTTTTCACAACAAGTTACTGTAATATTTCACAGTAAATTACATTAGTATCCCTTCACAGTATTTAACTGAAAAATTCACAGTAATATGTTGTATTCATAATTTTATTGTGAAATTACGGCAGGAAGCATGATTACAGCAAATTACTGTGAAAAGGGCTACATCTTTTGCACGTTAGTTATAGAAATTCAAACCTTTTTTTAACTCAACGTAGAAATTAATACAAATTAACTTTTAACAGATAATAACAGAATGTTATAGCCCCCAAAACGATTTGGTTACCAACATCTTTTTGGTTGTACTGCACCTTTATTTAATTTTATACAGTTAACATAGAATAGGAAATAATATTTAATGAACAACTGTGTGCTTAACCAAAACATAATAAACTGGAATAAAAAGTAATTAATTAATGAAACCAAAGACTCTTTAGACGGTTTCATGAGTATTGGGCACCTGTCATCGCCTGGAGGTCACTAATCTCAGAATTAAATATATATTTAAATTATTATTTTTTATCTATATAAATAAACCACAGATTAGAGTTTTAAACAACTACATTCTAGCATGAAAAACAGTTAAAACTTCATTTTTCGGACGCATATAGAGCCATCGAAGACGGGGCAATTGTCCCAATGTCTAGCCTGAAGACAGGCGCCTCTCGGCGGATACATGAGTAATGAGCGCTGTTACCGCCTGGAGGTCATAGATCTCCGCTACCGGCAAAACACACTTAAAATTACACACAATCTTTACTAACAATCCACAGATTTGAGATTTGAAGAACTACATTCTCGCATGAAAAAGTGTTAAAACTTTATTTCATTACATATTACAAGCAATATTTATAATTTTATGTGCCTTCTCATCCACCATTACAGCTTGATGCAGCTTGGTGCGAAATGAATCCTGGGAGGAAAAAATTATAATTCTCAATACACTCCAAACGAACTTTATTCTTATTGTTGAAGTCAGAGATATGTAATATTTTGAATGGCGAAGAAAATAATTAACTTTATATTTCAATCAATATATTACTTTTGCACTGCTTCGGTTCAGGACTCGTGTGACATTGAATCAGATTCAGATATTTTATCAGACGTGTTCATGAGCTCATAGTCATGAACAAGCAATTCGTGTACAAGCAGTACACCAACCAAGCAATATGATGAAATATTAATGAATTATATGTTTGCGTCTTACAATATTATACAAAACGGAATCGTTTTCAGGCGAATTCGACTCTTAACTGTTCACTTAAAGGAGCCGAATTCGACTCTTTACTGTTCACTTAAATGAGCCGACTCATTGAACAGAACTGACTCGACTCGAACGCAAACAAGCGCCATCGCTACAGACGCCTGCGTCGTCCAAGTACACCCGTCTGCAGCCCGCAGATCGGGGCGGGGCTGAATACGGGGCGGAGCTGAATGTGCAGCCCCGCCCATAAATGGGCGGGACTAAACATGTCACTCCGCCTACAAGTCTTTCATTGGTTCACGGAAACAGACGTTGATGTAATGTATGCTTTCGATTCCGGTTTTCATCTCTGCATGGTAAGTACACATCTTCTGTCATGTAAATGGTCAAATTATAGTCCAGTACACCTCACGTATTATGTGTCATTTATTTAATTAAAGGCCTTTAAGGAGATATGAAGTTTTAAAGCCTTAAAAAAAAGTTTTCTGTGTTAGGGTTGGCGTTTTCCAGGTTGATCGTACAGTTGGTGGTTTTATTCACTTAGAAGAATAATGTAAACTTTAAAGAGTTTTGTGCAAAACAGTCCATCACATGAAGTTTATTAATATCAAAGATAACAAAATATATTTTTCTTTGTGGCATGTTCTCTAATTTATATACTCTGGTAATGTTAATGCTAAATATGTACAATGTAAAACTTGATTCTTAACTTACTGATCTATACTACATTCTGTTTGCAGATCATTGGCATTGATATATAGTCCTCACTATGATTCCTTAGGAGCATATTCTCTGTTTTATTTTATTTTACCTCAGTTCTTGCTCTCTTTTTGTTTTAATAGATTTGTGCATTTAATAATTTTTATTTTTATTTACACTTCATGTTCTCTTTTTTTTTGTTTACTTTATAACCCATGCATGAAACTTAAGCAGAGGGGAATGTGAGGAGGGGGCATGCCTAGTACAAACATATTTAATTCTTTGAGTTTAACTTTAATATACTGTATGTTAAGCGACATGTTGATGATTGTTGGTTATTTTGTACAGATGCCGCCTGAGATCCTGCAGTGGATCCTACTGAGAGTTGTCACACAGGATGGTGATGGGACATTTCTGCAACTCTCACTGACATCCAGGACCTTCTGAGCCATTGTCATTCATTCATTCATTCATTTTCTTGTCGGTTTTGTCCCTTTATTAATCCAGAGTCACAACAGCGGAATGGACTGCAAACTTATCTAGCAGGTTTTTACGCAGCGGATGCCCTTCCAGCCGCAACCCATCTCTGGGAAACATCCACACACACATTCACACACACACTCATACACTACAGACAATTTAGCCTACCCAATTCACCTGTACCGCATGTGTTTGGACTGTGGGGGAAACCGGAGCACCTGGAGAAAACCCACGCGAAGGTAGGGAGAACATGCAAACTCCACACAGAAACGCCAACTGAGCCGAGGTTCGAATCAGCGACCCAGCAACGTTCTTGCTGTGAGGTGACAGCACTACCTACTGCGCCACTGCCTTGCCGAGCCATTGTCAGTAATCCAAAATTCAAGAAGCAGGGTGTGTGTGTGTGTGTGTGTGTGTGTGTGTGTGTGTGTCTGTGTACACATGATAAAGAGTACAGAATATGCCAAGCACTTTTTACTGCAGATTGTTACTTTAATGCTGTGGTGGAATTTCCCTGTAAAAAATATATAATTGTTTTTATGTTTATTAAAGATAATAATCACAAACTGCTGTATCTTAAATTATTATTAATATTTTCTATAAATTGTCAGTCTTCCTTTTGTACGTGTGCATGTGCATACACAGATGTTCTGTAGGTGAGACATCTGACATCTAAAAAACACAGATCTGCCAGATTTTTACTTGAACCGAGAAAGAGGGACTTTCAACTGACTGTATTGCTTTGTGTTGGTGTTTTTACTGAAGATGAAGTTGGTATTTATTTATCAGGATTTGTCAAATAAAAAAATCAGAAGTTTACACGAATGCTGCACTTATTAATGTCAAATTTATTTTCATTAATTTGTGTCCTGATAGATAAGTAATAAATAAAACTGGCCGTTTGTGCCATACTATTAATATAATATTAAGTGTATTTAATATTCTAATTAAATGAAATAGAATAACAATGTTGTATGTGACTCTTAATAACCAAACAAAATCATTATAAAAATATTTTTAAAGATCTACAGTGCAAAAATGGATCCAGAATGGTTGTTAGAAAGTGGTATTAAAGTATTTACCCTGTATTTACAAATAATACAAAAATAAAACCAAGAAGACAGCATTTTAATTCAGTAGTATTAGATTATGAAATTATTAGTAACTTATTAATTAAATTGTAGAACAGATATTAAAACCACCCAGTAGGTGGCAGCAGAGCACTGTCTTCATTCAAATGGAGAAACTGAACAAAACTTTAATGGATTAGTAAATAATAAATAATGAAATTGATTGCATCCATAGATGACACACCATGTAATATGAAAAAAATTAATAAAAAATTTTACTCATGCTGGAACATTTACATATAACAGATAATATACGTTTATATTCATAGCAGCGTCAAAGTAAAAATAAATCCATTATATGATGAAATAATCTGATTTAATAAGTAAAAAGGTTACAAACATATACTTCCCTTAATAAATAATAGCTTATCCCTGCTCTTAATAAAACTCAAAGCAGTGCAGTATTGAAAGAGAAACAATTGGACACATGCCCAATATTTTTAATAGTATAATTTTAATATTTTCAATTGTAAATTTTCCAGAGAACACTCCCATTCAAAGGGAAAAAATTAAACTGAACTAAAAGCACTGCATTTTTATTTATTTATTTTTTCAGACTCCACCTTTATTTGCTGTAAATATGCAATATGCATTTGCATTTTGAAGCAAAATAATAAACCATTAAAATATCAGAACTAAAATCACTGCGTTTCTGAAGTGACACCATTGTGAAAAGAGTCTTTTGAGTCTTTTGTAATATTTTTAGCAGGAAAAATACCATTATGAAATTCACATAACTGTTAACATATTTAACATATAAAA